ACACGCACCAATCCCTTCTTGCTCTCTTATTCTTCTTTAAAGCTTTATGATTCAGTGTAATGTACCATACGCTGATGAGAACTTAAAAAATCTATGCCGATGGTTAAGCTAAAACAACATAGCTTATCACACGTATCAAACCATTCTTTCCACAATTCTTATTTAGAATTTTATGATTCAGCACATGAAGCCAGACACTAATGAGAATTCGGAAAATCTTTGCCGATGGGTATATCATTGTCCGTGATATATTACACGCACCTATCCACTCTTTCCCAATATTTCTTCTATTAAGAAGCTAATGATTCACTGTATTAGCCATACACCGATAAAACTTTGACATTCTTTGCCGATGGGTACATTTCATACCAGAATGTATTACACGCATAATACATACCACTCTTGCCCTTTTCTTCTAATAAAAGTGATTAAAGAGTTGGCGTATGAAACCATATGTTGATGAGATCTCGCGATACTATGTCAGTGAGTTTAAGCTCCACTATCAAGAGGCATCACAAACTTATTGAGTAAATATTTCCATGCCACTTGCTGATTTCTTACGCCGGTGTTCATTGTCGCTGATGACGTCTCTCACTGATGTATCTTTCTTATCTCAACGGTAATTTTTTGGATGATGACTAAAATATCCATCATTATCTTGGGATATGAGATTTTTACGACGAAGATCTCTTCACTCATGATTATGTAAAAAGGAAGAAACTTTTTGGTATAAATTGGGAATTGTCCGTCCTAGGCACTTTTACAAGCCATTCAAGCAATTGACTCTCTCTCTCTCTCTCTCTCTCTCACTCACTCTCTTTCGAAAAAGGCTCTATCAACCATCTTCCTCAAGCTCTCACCATGTCAAAGCCTATGTACGAGTTTGCACCTAGCGCTAATGTCGTCAAAGATCCTCATGCCCCTGAATCTCCCTTCATCATTCAAGCGAACAATGTGGTGTTCTCTGATGAAATCCCAAACTAGTTCGCAAACTCAGGAATCAAAGACTTCGTCGACTACATCAAGAGTTGTCCTCTTTGATATGCATTCTGCGAGTTCCCAGATCCATTCTATCCTAAACAAGTTTGTGAGTTTTACTATTCATGTTGTATTGATGCTGATGCTCAAATTATTATTGGATACATTAGATATGGTCAATATAAGGTTACTATTGATGTGGAATCTTTTTGAACTGCTCTTCGTCCTCCTCTATTAGAAAGTTACTTTGAAACTCCATAGGAAGAAGGTGGAAATCTGTCTTTGAAAGATTAGGGTATAACTTTAATCTTAAGGGCACCACTCGTGATCCTTACAAATACACTCTTCGTCAGTGTTTTAGTGTAGGATAGAAGTATTTAACTGGGGTCATTGGCAAGTGTCTTGGACACAAGACTGGGAGTTTGGATCAACTGAATCTCTTTGAGCAAAGGAGCTTATTTTCTGTTGTGTACAACAAAAGACTTGTGATTTTTCTCAATTTTTTGTTGATCAAGTAATTGATTGCATCACTGGGAACAAGAAGCCCGTGTATGTTCCCTAACCCTCGTTGGCTTGGATTGATCTTATATCGTGAAGAAAGCTATGTTGAAATTCATGGGATTATCATTCCTATTCCTGCCCTCTCCTCAAAGATCATCAATACTACTCCTACTGCAGATGATTTGCATAGTATTGTGAGAATACAAAAACGGATTGAAAAACCCTACGTTGTTGAATCCTCTGAATCTGAAGAAGAGAACAATGAGGATAATGATGAAGAAGGCACTAATAATGGCGAACGGGGTGATGAGGAAGAAGAGTCTGATAAAGATGAAGAAGAATCAATCGTTGATAAGGGAGAAGACTTTGCTCAAGGGATGAACTCACCCCCAAGGATGAACAAGCACATTCGTTTTTCAACTACCTCTTCATCCACTTCCACTGCATATGACGTTGTACAATGTGGATCAACCCCTCCTTTTGTGGAAACTGCTAAACCAATGATCCAGGATGTAACTTCTCCAAAACCAACGTCTCCTTCTCCTCAGGCTGAGATTATTCCCATATGCCAACTCCTATTCAAACTGCTGATTTTTATCAAGGGGAATCCAACTCCAACTTTCAAACTGCAGTGTTTTCTCAACTTTCTCTCATAATGCAGATAACTCAATCGCTGGGAAAAAGGTTGTCTAAAGTAGAAAGGGATGTAGCTGAAATGAAGCATTTTCTGGCCTTGGTTGATGATGATGCTGATGATATGGTTGTTGATGACACCCTACCAAACTCTCCAGGTGATAACCCTCCTCCACTTCCACCTCTATCATAAAATCCTCCTCCACCATCTCATTCTCCTCCTCACACCCATTCACCACCTACTGGCTATCCTCCCTAATCTGATGCCGCCAAAAAGGGGAAGAATAATCAAGCGAGTTCTGATCAATAAATGCAAATGGTGATGACTGCATCAACTCCATCTCTGCCTGATATGTCTGAAACTTGAAGGGTTGAAGCTATCCTTCAAAAAGAAATTGTTGTTGTTGACATTCCAGAAGCTAATGATCACCCCATTCCAGACACTGGTGATCAATCTGAGACTGACGACTATGAAGGGTTTCTTGATCTTGGTTTCATGCCATAACCTGCTATGCCTACTGTTCCTTTAAATGTTGTCTACCCTGATTCTTATGTTAAGGGGAGGTTCCTCAAGGAACTAATAGTGACATTGATTCTGATAATGATCATCTCAATCCTCGAAAGAGGAAGGCTTACTTATCACGGGGAGCTCATGACATTAAAGCTAGAAGTTCTGCTACTGGTGATCCTTCAGCACCCCCTCCTTCCAAGGAAAGCAAGAAAAGCAAACTCATTTTTTATCTGAATGGGTTGGTTGAAATATGGGATATAACTGTTGATGAAGTAAGAGAAATCATGATAGAGAATAATGAGGTTATTCGTTAAAAGAAAGAACCTAAAAAGGAGAACGTTTTTCTTCCAAACTTGCTAAAGCTCTTGCTTCTGCTGATGAAAGTGCTGACGTTCAAAGCACTAATGATCAAGTCAAGAAAATTAAACTCTTCAATAATAGTGTAAAGAAACAACACAGAGTTTCAGAGCTAGACGACAAGATAAACAGGAAGAAGTTTGGAGACGTTATGACTCGAGGAACAATGCTTGATCCCATTGTCAGAGTGAGATGCACCAAACCAAGAAACGAGTCACTGAAGCTTCACTTGGTCAGGAAGAAGACTGGATATGAATACACTGAGGTTGTATTTGCTCGTGAGCTAGTCAAATTTGGCTACAACGAGTGGATGCAAATTCAAGAAATTATTGACAAACACAAAGGTATTCATGCTCAGGAGGTGAAGTTGGCAATTCAGCAGCTGCTCAACAAAGTCAAGAAGTTGAATCTTGTGCCATCGGCTGGTCCATCTAGATCATCCCCTTCAGGAAGAACAGGCGCTCCCAAACAGTCCAAGAATACCAAGTTTCTCCTTCCTTATGGCACTAGGTAAATCAACAACGAACTGTCAGCGAGTGTTGAACTAGTTCAGTACATGTTCATTTGAGAACCGGAGCATGGCATTTTCTATCTTGACAATCAAAATCACATGTGCTTTCAATGCACTGATGATCTTCCTGCTGCTCCCACTTAACACTTGTTTCGTCTTCGCATGGAAGGACTTAGTCATTTTGAAGTGGAAAGAGGATATCATGTGTTGATATCTTTGGAGCTTAGTAGAAGATTGGACAAGCTTCAAATTGATGAATTCAGATGGGTTAAGCCTGAGATCTTGAAAGAAGCTGACAAGCTCTACAATGATTCTTCTGATGACTCTGAAGAGAAGATTAGTTTTAACATAATCAGATAAGGGGAGATTGTAAGGTCATACCTTATGATCTGATGAGTCAAACACTCTATACGTTATCTGTCAGCGGCGTCAGCGTCTACATCACCATCAGCGCCAGCGTATCAAGCCTATCATCGTCAGCGCTTAGTATAGTTATTCCATGTAATCTTTTGTATATTAGGTAATGATACATATATATATAGAATAGACAGCAGATCCGGTATCTTTATGATAAAGATCGGTTCTTAGTATAGATAAGATACAATCCCTTTAATCAAGGGATATACATGTATAGATTAATATATAATCAACATTAGGGTAAACCCTAATGAGTTCGTCTTTGTGAAAACAAAACTCTTTCTTCTATCTAGCTTCCATCTTTCCTTACTTGCCACTTTTGGTCCTTCCTACTTTATCTGTTACAAAAGTGACACCATTTGACCTACTAAATACTAGAACTTCATTCATTTACACTTTGGTCCATGACTAAACTCAAACTAGATACTAAGTTTGCAAGTTGGCAAACTTGTCTATCTTTAAAGTCTAAATTATTCTTCTTTTAAATTCTCATTTTATATATTGAACTTTTCATGATAATTATTATTTTAATTTACTAAATTTTAGATTTATTTATTATTTAAATTTACTTTATTTTATTTCCAAAATTTTATTTCGCCACCTGAAAGGGCAACTCCTAACCCAAAATTTAGGATGATACACACAAAGGAAGGAAAAAACAAATCTAAATCATTAAACGAAACTCAAAAATATCGACTAATTATTTAGATTTGATTACACTGTTTCGTTTTTGTTGGTTACAATCAAGACGATGAGATAAAAGAACAAATTCAAACACAAAAAATCAACATCAAACATACAACCAGGTATTCATTGTTGTTATTTTTGATTTGATATCCGTTCTTCATCACACAACTTCGTTGAACAAAACTCAACTATTGGTTGGGTCATTATGACATTAACCCTTTTTAAAATAAAAACATCACGTAACTGTGTTTTTTTTTTATCACACTTGATAAAAACCATTGATCTGTTGCAAGTTGGTTTATTTGCAACAATAAACTAAATACAACAATGTAAAACATCTTTTTTCCTTTTGAGACCCATAAAAACATTGGAAAAGATAAGACTTCTTTCGCATATCCTTTAAATGCAATTCTCATAGCTACAACAAGCCAAATACACCAAAATATTTGTTGAATACTTCCCTAACAACTGTATATTGATCCAAGACAACTGTTTTATTTACATAGAACATAATGAGATGACATCAACAAGAAAAATGCAACAATTCACTTCACAGACCCAACCACCACTGCAACACCCAACAATGTTTCACTTCACTAGTCTTCATCATCCTCAATCCCAACCCAACTTGTAAAGGCAAACAAAAACTCCTTGAAGTTCACTGTTCCATTTTTATCCCAATCCATCTCTTCTGTAAACACAAAAGAACCAAATTCAACAATTCTCACACTAATTTATGTGTTTATACATGTGTAAGGGAATAGAGAGAGACCAAATCTTTTCATGGCAATTTGCCCATCAGATCGCCCACTTTCCTCTATTGCATGAATCATTTCATTCTTGCTGACATAACCATCTTTGTTGTTATCCAAGAACACAAACGATTCAACCAATGTATCAAAAGTTGCCTCAAGATCCGGGATTCCCATGCGTGATTTCTATAAATGTCAAGAAAGCAACAATAGGAAAGAGAAACATATCCCTTCAAATATTATGAAATGAACCAAAATTAGTTGGAATATAATTTATAACAAAATACAGTTGGATACAGCATTTGGAGCAGCATCAACTTCCTTCAAAAGATAGACAAGGCAAAGAAGGACAATGAACTCATGAAAGTCTATTCCCATGTCATCATTTAAGTCACATGCCTTAAAAAGATCACTGATTTCTTCGTTTGTGAAGTTCACTTCAAGCTTACTGAAGCAATGCTTCAGCTCTTTAAGATCAATTGCACCACTTTTATCCTCATCTGTAAACAACAGGGGAAAAGTAACAAGTTTTTTGTCATAATACTTTAAGGTATTGATGTTCTAGTGTACATACCAAACTGTTCGAATATGACTTTGCATTTTCTTAGGCTCTCATCGATTTTTGGGAATTTTAAGATTATCTTGTTAAATGACATTAAGGAAGTTCCTTTTAGCTCTCGCTGTAATACTGCATCCAGTATCTGGGCTTCAAGCTTGGATGTAGGTGCAGAAGATGTGGGTGAACCATCGCCCATGATCAACAAGTCAGGAGGCTTATACTGAAGCCTGTTAATTTCAAGTTCAAACAAATAACCAATACCAAAATCATGGGTAACAAATTACTAATTACGTACAAGAAATTACTATCCAAAAATGAAATTGATATGAATGTATTTGGATCCATAGAAAGTCAAGATCCATCTATAATGGTGCAAAAGATGGACTTTTATTAATGTTACAGAATCAAGGAAAAGATCTCAAAAACCAATCAACAATATTGCATTTGCACACAACATACCGCGCCATGCATATTTTAGGGATTACAAGCAATTTCAAGTTCAATAGGATTAAACACAACATTATCACGAATAGTTTAGGGATAAGGAGCAATTTCAAGTCCAATAGCGGTTACACACAACAAATGACGAAATTTTGAGGGATAACGACCGAAATTACATACAATTATCATGAATTGGGGATACTTACGAATTGGGGATACTTATCGTAAGTATGAATGAAAGTGAAGCGACGAATGAGAGATACAAGCCGCTGAAACTCCAATCAGATTAGGGCTTTGTGAAATCACAAATTAGGCAGAAAATGAATTCAGAGGAGCCTGAATAATAATATGATAATACAAACAATCCTTCAAAGATCCATGCGCGTTTAGGGATAAAGTTTGGAGAAAAATTGAATTTTGGTTTTTTTTGTTGAATTGATGTTTGGAGCATGGGTAGATTTTCTCTTATCTCCAGGATTCGTGCTGCTCCCTACACGTTGACGTTCTGCTTCTATGTTCAATCTTTACAATCTCCCTCCCCTCCTATCTCCCTCTCCTCCCGGGAGTTCAAACTCCTCTTTATTGTTTAAAGAAACAATTTCATAAATGGTCCTCGTGCATTCAAAAATGACAAGGTGAGGATAACTTTCAGAATTGCTTCATAAATGGTCCTTGCTGACCATAAAGCTAACCATATGGTTTCAAAAATGGCATGGATTGTCCTTTTTTTCACTTTCTGTCTAATTATGGTACACATGCACCTCACATGAGGGAAATATTGTATTTTTTACTTGTTACCACAACTTATGCCATTAATTAAGATTAGACTTAATATAAATAGTCCCTATACCAGTTGTGATCATCCCTTCCAGGAAGCCCATCCACATTCTCCTTATCCCATTACTTGATCAAAAATCAAACCTTTATAGTGGCAAGGTTTACAAAGAAGAAATGGTTTTGACGTTGTGGAAAGTTCGTTCTTACTCAACACAAATTGATGTAAATAAACTATACGATATGTTTATGTGGGAAAGAAAAAAAAAACTTCAATTTCATGCTATTAACCTTCTTATTGATTTCTAAACAATGTCTTGGTTTACGCAGAATGAATAGACAACTACTTCATAGTGAGGATTCATAATGGTAGAATGTTCACAATGTTTCCTGGCAGGCGTTCTCTTGATGGAATAGTCGATTACATGGATTTTGTATAAATCGGTGTCTTCTCAATTCATGAGCTAGACGTAATGCATCAAGATGTATGGTATAAAATGGCCAAACAATGTATTACCACTTTGTTATACCTGAATCGACTTTGGAATATACCCTCCCACCTCTTAGGAATTACCTATATGTCTTTAAATTAGCTAGCTATGTTCCTAATAATAAAGTAATTTGTGTGTATCTTGAACACGCAAAGACAAGGGCTCACATGTACTACACGACTACTTCGAAAGTGTTTATGGAACAATTAAATGATGATCTACAGCCATTCCATAAACTTAGTGAGAAAGAGGTTAGGTATTGTGGTCTTAAGTTGGTCTTTAATGCCCCTTATTCTCAAACTTACACTAAAACACAATATTTTATATGATAATTGTTCCATATATATCAAGTTCTACGTATAGTAAAGTGATTGTTGATAAGGTTACAATAGGTGGCAGTGGTGATGATCCAATAGTTACTAATGAATCCATTTGATTTCTTAATAACAAGAAAGATATTATTATTAACAATATAGATGATCCTATTGTCAACAATGTGAATAATCCTCTTGTTAACAATGTGGATGATCCATTTGTTAACATTTTAGATGATCCTATTGTTAACAATGTAAATGATCGTTTTTTTAACAATATGGATGGTCCTATTGTTAACAATGTGGATGATCCTTTTATTAACAATATTAATGAAGTTTTTCCTTACTTTGATAATTATTGTCAGTTTGATGATGATTTGGATGATCTTATTATGGATGATATATTTGTTGATGATATAAAAGTGGAAATGAGATAGATCTATAGTGTTATAGCAAACAATATTATTGATTTTGTTGTAGAACTTCAGGAAGCTTAGCACCAAAAGTATGATGCCTCTAATGGCTCACACCCAAACCCTAGAAACTAGAAGACCTTTTGGAGAGAGGAGGGAGAAGGAAATTTCCGGCTATGCTTAAACAATAGAGATGGCCGAAAATTAAAGGGTTTAGAACCCTTTATATAGCTGCATCGAATCCCTGATAACTACAGATTTGAACATAAAATAATATTATTTGAAATTAGTGAATATCTAGTTTCCTTATATCAATTGGAGGCTTCCAAAATCCTCTTAAGGGAACTCCAAAACCGTCTATACCAGGAGGGTTCTTGTCACACCCCGAAACCGATGGCGGAAACGTTCCGGGGCGGAGGACGTTATGTGTAGCATCACAACCAATGAATAACAACAATCATAGCAACACAACCATTACAGTGAATACTTAAATAAAAATGTTTACATCAGTTGAAACTTGACTGAAACTTTGTTTGAATTACATCCAATAGCTTTGTATAGTATAAACATAAAACTCTTATTGCTCCAGTTCCTCGAAAATCCAGCAAGTACCTGTCTACTGATTTCCTGAGAATACAAGCAGTTTGAAAGAGTATCAGCATAAAGCTGGTGAGTTCATAAGCGGTGGTTTGTAGTGAAAATCGTTGATGAGTTCGGAAAATATTTGTATAGTTTTAAGAAAATCCGATATTTTCCTTAGTGAAAATGTAGTGTTATCAGTTCTGTAATAAACCATGAATATTTGTATGTTTACAAGAAAATCTGATATTTTCTTTAGTGAAAAGGTAGCGTTATCGATTTCTTATAAAACCATGAATGTTCGTTACGGAAAACTGTAGTGATGTGCGAAAATACTACCTCATGTGACTAGCTAAAACTAATCATGAAGTATAAGTATTTTGTATGTGAAACCATTGCATAATCGGTTCTGTTTGAAAAACCCTGGCTTTAACCAGTATACGTAGTGTGTGTCAGTTCTATTTAGTAAAAATAAAACTATTGAAGAGTGCCAGGTTGTAAACTAAAGGTGATTTATACATAATGTGAGTCGTATAACCATGCTTGATATGACTAGAGACCTTTCCAACGTTCTTCAGGCGTCGAGTTAAATGACATTTGTACATCTCAGGCGTGCCCGCCTAACTGTAGCTAGCAGTCCAGATGTGGGATTGTTAGTTCCGAATAGATCTATTCACAAATCTCACGCTCTCCCTCCAGGAGACTCTGGTTATACTATGGTAGGATTTATCCCTGTACACCTAAGGGTACAGTAGTGAAGTAGCGCCTCACAGTATCGTACAATCTAGTTTACATGTAGTGTAGTAGCGTTCTATCGTAGTGAAAATCCGTATGTATACCGTATATAATGATAATTACAGTTATGAAAAACCATGATAAAGTGGTGATGTAACTGTAAACTATTTATGTCTTAGTGCATATGTTTAGTAGTGAAAGTTTCTGTACTCGTTATGTTTAGAAAATCCCAAACTATACCGATTATAGTTTGCATGTATAGTGAATAGCGTGTCCGGAAAACTATGCAATTTTTTGTGAAAACGTCCCTTATGCTCAACACAGTACAAAAGGGTTAAAGTATGAGATTTGCATAAGTTTTGAAAACATTTATGTTTAGCTTGTATTCCCCCCCCCCTGAAAACATTGAAAATATGGAAAAATGTAGGGGTATGAACTCACAGTTGTTGCGTGAAATCGTGGACTGAAATGAAGATCCTCGAGTTGTTGCATGTGACAATTAACGAAATCCTATTATCAAATAAATACATATATGTATCTAAATTAGCGATTTCGATAAATAAAGTGTCATAAGAACACTTGTATTCGGTTGAGGAATGTTACCGGGACTTGATCGAATCAAAGAGAGTGAGTTTTCAGCCAAAAGCACCACCAAAAGGTGTTTACGGCTGTGAACAAGGGTTTACGGTCGTAAGCTGGAGTTTACAGTTTTTGAAGACTCGGTGAGTTCACGGCCGTAAACTCAAGAACAGAGTTTACGGTTTCTGAAGGCTCGGACCGTAAACTCAAGAACAGAGTTTACGGTTTCTGAAAGCTCGGACCGTAAACTCAAGAACAGAGTTTACGGTTTCTGAAGGCTAACCGTAAACTCAAGAACACTAGAGCTGGATGCTGATTTCGAAGAGATGAGTGCCCTGAGACGTTCCAAAGCGACCCAAACGTGATTTTCTCGATGATTTCCGAAATTTGAAGGCGTTTTGAGTGTTTACGGTTAAGGTTCTTAGAGAGAGAAGGAGAGAGTTTTTGGCCAGAAATGTTCTAATGAAGGTGGAGGTATCGTATTTATAGGGGTGTGGTGGGGGGTCCACTCGTTACTGACCGTAAACGAGTTTACGGTCGTAAACGAGTTTACGGCCGTAAACACGTTTACGGTCGTAACCTCACTTAGACCGGGAATGTTTGATTTTTCGAGATATTCGGGTTTCCGCGCGATTTTTGGTTCCAATTCGTAAATAATTTAATTATATAAACAACTAGATTATTTTCTAAACCAAAAAGTTTGACGGAAAAGTTAACGAATTCGAAATTTTATTAACGCAAACCATGTAACGGAAACGGAAAAAGTTTCGAGTTGTCACATCATCCCCCCGTTAGAGGGAATTTCATCCCGAAATTCGAACTTAGAATACAGATCACAGATTAGGAAAGAGATGCGGATACTTCTGTTTCATCTGATCTTCGCGCTCCCAAGTGAATTCAGGTCCCCGCTTGGCATTCCAGCGAACCTTCACTATTGGGATGCGACTTTGTTTCGTTCGTTTGACTTCCCGATCCATGATTTCGACAGGTTCTTCCACGAAGTTAAGGTTCTCGTTGATTTCAATCTCGTCGAGAGGCATCACATGTGTCTCATCGGACAGACACTTCTTTAGGTTCGACACGTGGAAGACAGGATGGATGTTGCTAAGCTCTCGGGGTAATTGGAGTTTGTATGCCACGGGACTGATCCTAGCAAGGATTTCGAACGGTCCAATGTACCTTGGGTTTAGCTTTCCACGCTTCCCAAAACGTATCATGCCTTTCCAGGGTGAGACCTTCAGAAGGACACGGTCACCAACCTGGAACTCCAAGGGTTTTCGTCTCTTATCGGCGTAGCTTTTTTGTCTATCTCGTGAGGCTTTCAGTCGTTCTCGGATTTGCACAATCTTTTCAGTTGTCTCTCGGATAATTTCAGGACCAGTGAGAGTACTGTCGGGGACTTGACCCCTGGCTAGCTGCGTGTCACCCACCTCAGCCCAACACAGAGGGGATCTGCACTTACGGCCATAGAGGGCTTCAAACGGCGCAACCTTGATGCTGGTATGGTAGCTGTTGTTGTAGGAAAATTCAACCTAAGGAAGATGAGTGTCCCATGATGCGCCAAAATCGATGACGCAGGCTCTCAACATGTCTTCCAATGTCTGAATTGTTCTCTCACTCTGTCCATCAGTCTGCGGATGATAAGCCGTGCTCATATCCAATTTAGTTCCAAGAGCTTTCTGTAGTGACTGCCAGAACCTCGATGTAAACCTGCTATCTCGATCGGAGATAATGGATGCAGGTACACCATGAAGGCGAACTATCTCTTGAAGATAGATCCGTGTGAGTCTCTCCATCTTGAAGCTTTCTTTGATTGGAGGGGAAGTGGGCGGACTTCGTCAATCGATCGACAATTACCCAGATGACATCGTG